GTTGTGTAACTGATGGGTATCTAGATGGGTGGTAATCTTGCTTCTTAGAACCCTTTCAAAGATTTTTATGATATGGGATGTTAACACTATCGGTCTGTAGTTCTTTGCTATTGCTTTATTGCCCCCTTTGTGGAGTGGGGCTATATCTGTTGTTTTTAGCAGCTGTGGGATGACCCTTGTGTCCATGCTCTCACTCCATAGGATGTTAAAAGCACATGATAGGGGCTTCTTGCAGTTCTTGATGAACACAGAGTTCCATGAGTCTGGGCCTGGGGCAGAGTGCATGAGCATGTCTTTTATCGCCTTTTTGAAGCTATTTCGTGTCAGGATAATATCAAATAGATTTGAGTCTACTAAATTCTGTGTCCCTCTCATAAAAATTTTATTTAGGTCTTCAACTCTCAGTCTGGTTAGCTGCTCGCTAAACAGCAAGTTATACTGGGACTTGAGTAGCTCACTCATTGCCTTACTGTCATCTGTGTAGGACCCATCTTGTCTAAGTAGGGGCACAGTACTGGATGTTGTTCTCGACTTTGATTTGGAATGAAAACAAATATTTTGGGTTTCTTTCAGTTTAATTCATGGCTCTCGGTTCTTTCTGCATTTCTTGACTCCTGTAAGATTCCTTTAGCTTTGGTTCTATGTTTACTATTTCTCTGATGAGTGCTTCCCTACATATTAGAGATATATTGGCCTCTTTTAGCCACTCTGTTATTCTTTGCCTTCACCTGTATAGGGAGTGCCTTTCTCTTTCTAGTTTACATCTTCTCTTCCTTTTCCTTAAAGGAATATGCCTTGAGCATATCTCAAGTGCCACAGAGCTAATTTGTTCTAGACATAGGTTTGGAACCATGTTGCTTAGGCTATCTTCCCAGTTTATATCATTTAAGACCTGGTTTGTGATGAAGTTAGTGAAGATAAGGTCCACTGTTATTGAAGTTGAATTTAGTGAAGGCTCCCTTGTGACTCATCACATTTTGTTGGTCTGGGGCCCTGCCCATACATGTCTGAACCTCTATTATGTTCTTATGTTCTTATATTGTTTTTGATGTGGTAATATTTCGTATCAGATCATCATTGTTAGTGAAGATAAGGTCCACTGTATTCTCCAGTCTTGTTGGCTCTATTATTATACAGTGGACTCCCGGTTCGCAATACTAATCCGTTCCTGAGAGCTCATCGTAAACCAAAAATATCGGAAAGCGAATCAATTTTCCCCATAAGAAATAATGGAAATCAAATTAATCTGTGCAAGACACCCAAAAGTATGAAAAAAACTTTTACCACATGAAATATTAAGTTTAATGCAATAGAATAGTAATTACAATAACAACAATAACAATAAATAACAATAAATAACGAAGGAATAATTGACACTTACCTTTAATGAAGATCTGGTGATGATTGATGGGATGGGAGGAGGGGAGAGTATGAATGGTGTTAGCATTTAGAAGGGGAATCCCCCTCCATTAGGACTTGAGGTAGCAAGTCCTTTTCCAGGGTTACTCCCTTCTTCTTTTAATGCCACTAGGACCAGGTTGAGAGTCACTGGACCTCTGTCGCACAACATATCTGTCCATAGAGGCCTGTACCTCTCGTTCCTTTATGACTTTCCTAAAGTGGTTCACAACATTGTCAATGTAATAGTCACCAGCACGGCTTGCAATAGCTGTCTGAGGGTGATTTTCATCCATGAAGGTTTGCACTTCAAGCCACTTTGCACAGATTTCCTTAATCTTTGAAGTAGGCAACTTCTTCAATTTCTCTCTCCCCTCCTCCGAAGCAATTTCCTCAGGTGTGGCCTCTTGCTGTTGAAGTTGATCTAGCAGCTCATCAGTGGTTAGTTCTTCATTGTCCTCCTCCACCAACTCTTCCACATCCTTCCCACTAACCTCCAACCCCAAGGACTTCCCCAATGCCACAATGGATTCCTCAACTGGCATAGGCTTCTCAGGGTTAGCCTCAAACCTTTCGAAATCCCTTTTGTCTACACATTCTGGCCACAGTCTTTTCCAGGCAGAGTTCAAGGTCCTCTTAGTCACTCCCTCCCAAGCCTTACCTATAAGTTTTACACAATTGAGGATAGTAAAGTGATCCTTCCAAAACTCCTTTAGGGTCAGTTGAGTTTCTGTGGTCACTTCAAAGCACCTTTCAAACATAGCTTTTGTGTACAGTTTCTTGAAGTTGGAAATGACCTGCTGGTCCATGGGCTGCAGGAGAGGAGTGGTATTAGGAGGCAAAAACTTGACCTTAATGAAACTCATGTCCCCACAAAGTCGCTCTGCTAAGTCTGTAAGATGACCAGGGGCATTGTCTAATACCAGGAGGCACTTAAGATCTAATTCCTTTTCAATTAGGTAATTTTTCACACTGGGGGCAAATGCATGGTGTAACCAGTCATAGAAAAAGTCCCTAGTGACCCATGCCTTACTGTTTGCCCTCCACAGCACACACAAATTAGCCTTGAGGACATTCTTTTGCCTGAATGCTCTGGGAGTTTCTGAGTGATACACCAGTAAAGGCTTCACTTTGCAATCAACACTAGCATTAGAACACATCAACAGAGTAAGCCTGTCTTTCATAGGCTTATGTCCTGGGAGTGCCTTTTCCTCCTGAGTAATGTAGGTCCTGCTTGGTAATTTCTTCCAAAACAGGCCTGTTTCGTCACAATTAAACACTTGTTCAGGTTTCAATCCTTCAGCCTCTATGTACTCCTTGAATTCATGCACATATTTTTCAGCCACTTTGTGGTCTGAACTGGTAGCCTCACCATGCCTAATCACACTATGTATACCACTACGATTCTTAAATCTTTCAAACCAACCTTTGCTGGCCTTAAATTCACTCACATCACCACTAGTTGCAGGCAATTTTTTTACCAAATCGTCATGCAACTGCCTAGCCTTTTCACAAATGATTGCTTGAGAGATGCTATCTCCTGCTATCTGATTTTCATTTATCCACACCAATAACAGTCTCTCAACATTTTCTAACACTTGCGGTCGCTGTTTCGTAATCACAGTTGCGCCTTTTGCAAGAACAGCTTCCTTGATTGCCGTTTTCCTGCTCACTATAGTAGAGATGATTGATTATGTTTTACTATACAACCTGACCAGCTCCGACACACGCACTCCACTTTCGTACTTTGCAATTATCTCTTTCTTCATTTCAACAGTCATTAGCACCCTTGGTCTCGAAGGGTTGGCACTGGGAGCTTTCTTGGAGCCCATGGTGACTTACTTTGCAAAAACAGGCACCAACAACAGTGATAATATGGATAATATGGAATGTACCGAATGTATCCTTAGATGCGCGCACACTGGCTGGCTTGTAAACACTGGCACACACAGGGCAGTTCAGACCACACGTGGACACGTCTCGTACGAACCACATCGCATACCGGGTTTTGTATCAGGAAGCGAGGCAAATTTTCTGCGATATAATGCATCGGTTACCAGATTTATCGGATACCGATAGCATCGCGAACCGGGGGTCCACTGTAATAATAATAATAATAATAATAGTTTATTAGGACATGATACATAGTTGTACAAGGTATTATAGTAGTTGGGTGTACATGTCAAAAGCCCCTTGTGTGCAGAGCGTTATGGGCAGGCTTAAAATTAACTTAAGATTATCTAAGGTATAATAGATTTAATGGTAACAGTTACAGTAAACAGTTTACAATATCAAGTACAATTGAGTATTTTAAATAATGAAATTTGAACATTTCAATTTTGAAGCATGATAGTTTTACAATTATGTAACATTACAGTGAATAATATAACAGGGTGCTTTAAATACTAACCTTTCACTCTGCATTAACACTACAAATATTTTTAAGTAAGTAATGGGTATACTGTGTGGGTATTTTGCTTTTTATTGTTTTTTAATGCCTAGTTCTATTGCTAACTTAATATATGTTTGTGTGAACTTATCTGGCATTTATGTGCATTTGTAAGTGGAAAAAAATGGCATTCTGTTTTCTGGTGATGTCTGCTCTGTGGAGATAGCCTGGAGCCTAACCTACCATATAAATGGGGCCCTACTGTATATGGGAGAGAGTGGTAGAATGGGAGGAGGGGGCAGTAGTAGTAGTAATAGTGGAGAGAGAGAGCTTGAGAAAGTACTTAGGTATTTGTGATAGCAGGGGTTGAGTCTCAGCTCCTGACCCCTGATTGAGGGTGTGAATATGAGTTAGAGGGAGAGTGAGAAATAACAAGATGCTGCAGCAGACAGCATGGGTTACAGTCATGTGTGCTGTGGTTATTGCTTGCATATTTTTTTTTTTTTGCTTTTTGCTTCAGATATTTCCCCAAACTGGTAGTCTGGCAGTTGGCTGCTTATTCAGATAAGCATATGAGAAGTAATTGAATGTCCACCATTACGGGATTTTACCCCATTTTAAGTACAGTTGTAGTAACACTTTGCCTGATTAATTCATTGTCACTTTACCTCTGCATGCTCTCCACACAATATGCAGACACATTTGAATCAACACACCTATCATTACATCCTTCAATAGCTTCTATGTGAATAGTTCTTTTCTTTACTGTTTAAGGATTAAGGATTTTATTTCTTTGCATAGTTTACAATGTGTAATTACAATTTTGATTTGCTAAGTAGAAAGAAAGCCTCTATCATGCCAGGGCATTTTGGGCAGACTGTTTAATACTAGGCATATATATCAGAGTTGGTTTGAATTGAACATCGTTTTCTATATTTCAACAGAGGTAAGTTAGTCATTAATAGAAATTACATTTATAAAATATTTGGTAAGACAGTAAACTAGTAGTTACAATACTCAAAAAGTCAATACATCAAAATTATACTAAAGTCAAGCATGAGAAAAATACAGATAATAAAAGCATTATTGACTACAAATAACTGTTTAACAAATGCTGCATCATAAATGCCCATCATAACTATTCTCATACTGGCCATTTTTTTAATATTGAACATTATGTTGAATGTGATGGTAAATAATCTTCCTTTTCAAGGTCTATGATGAAAATAATGTCAGTTGGGTTCCCCGCGGCCCTCTAAGTAGGGGTCGAGGTCACTTTGGAATGGTTGCTCTTCATGGCTCACTCTATGCTGTTGGTGGTATATGCTCATATGGTGGTACCAGTCAAGTACTTTCTACCTGTGAGAAGTTTGATCCAGGCTCTGATACATGGACACCAATTGGTGAGTGAAAATTATTTTTTTTAATGTATCGGCCATCTCCCACCAAGGCAGAGTGACCTAAAAAGAAAAACCAAAAGTTTTTTTTTTTCATTTAGGAATTTAAATAGGCGAAGGGGTTACTAGCCTCTTGCTCCCAGCATTTTAGCCACTTCTTACAACATGCATGGCTTATGGAGGAAAGATTCTTTTCCACTTCCCCATGGAGATGAAAATTTATATTGATAGTTATGTTGCCATTTAGTGGGAAATCAGTATTAAGTATACATGGAAGATTTAACTGATTGTACAGTAAATTTTTTTCTTTAGTACAGTAACCTCTCTTATAAAGCTCCTCTGTATATTGGGATTTTTTTTGTAAATGCGATTGAAAAGTGCATTCAAAATTGAACTGCTTGGATGTACCTTTTCAATCACATTTCCTAAAAATTGCATTAAATGGAAGATCTTTATAAGAGGGATTCTTCTTTCAACAAATTGGCTGTATACCACCGATATAAGAGGGATTATGGGAACATATTAGATTAAAGTGTAATGATGTATGGGGGCTTCCCTGAATCCCTTCATAAATATTACCCTGCTCACACCATTTGTCTCCATTCATTCCTGTCTAACACACTCACGCATGCTTGCTAGAAGTCCAAGCCCCTTGCACATAAAACCTCCTTTAGCCCCTCCATCCAGCCTTTCCTAGGCCGACCTCTACCCTGCCTTCCCTCCACTACAGATTTGTACTCTCTCAAAGTCATTCTGTTTTGTTCCATTCTCTCTACATGTCAGAACCATCTCAACAACCCCTCCTCAGCCATCTGGATAATAGCTTTGGTAATCCTGCACCTCCTCCAAATTTTCAAGCTATGAATTCTCTTTATTATATTCACACCACACATTGCCCTAAGACACAACATCTTCACTGCCTCCAGCTTCCTTGTTGCGACATTCACCACCCATGCTTCACACCCATATAAGAGCATTGGTATATATATATACTCTCATACATTTCCCTCTTAGCTTCCATAAACAAAGTTCTTTGTCTCCTCAGACTCTTCAGTGCACCACTCACCTTTTTTCCCTTGTCAATTCTATGATTCACCTCATCTTTCATAGACTCATCTGCTGACACGTCCACTCCTAAATATCTGAATACATTCACCTCCTCCATACTTTCTCCCTCCAATCTGATATCCAATCTTACGTTATCTATTTTTTTATCCTCATCACTTTTAATTTTCTTCTTTTACATACCCTACCAAATTCATCCACCAACCTCTGCAACTTCTCTGCAGAATCTCCCAAAAGCACAGTGTCATCAGCAAAGAGTAACTGTAACAACTCCCACTTTATGTTAGATTCTTTATCTTTTAACCCCACACCTTTTGCCAACACCCTAGCATTTACTTCTTTTACAACCCATCTTTAAATATATTGAACAACCATGGTGACATTACACATCCTTGTCTAAGGCCTGCTTTTACTGGGAGATAATCTCCCTCTCTCCTACATACTCTAACCTGAGCTTCACTATCCTCACTGCTTTCAATAACCTACCTCCTATTCCATACATTTGCAACATCTGCCATATTGCCCCCCTATCCAAATCCATAAATGCCACAAAAGCTTCTTTACCCTTATCCAAATACTGTTCACCTATATGTTTCACTGTAAACACTTTGTCTCTATACCTCCTACCCTTCCTAAAGCCTTGTTCATCTGCTATCCTACTCTCTGTCTTACTCTTAATTCTTTCAATAATTACTGTACACTTTACCAGGTACATATGTGCTCAACAGACTTATTCCTCTTTAATTTTTGAACTCTCTTTTGTCCCCTTTGCTTGTATACAAAGGAAATTTGCATGCTCTCTGCCAATCCCTAGGTACCTTACCCTCTTCCATACATTTATTAAATAAAAGCACCAACCACTCCAGAACAATATCCCCATCACCTTTTAACATTTCTATCTTTATCCCATCAATCCCAGCTGCCTTACCCCCCTTTCATTTTACCCACCATCTCACGAACTTCCCCCACACTCACAACTCGCTCCTCCTCACTCCTACAAGATGTTTTTCCTCCTTACCCTGTACATGAATTCACAGCTTCCCTATCTTCATCACCATTTAACAGTTCCTCAAAATATTCCCTCCATCTTCCTGATACCTCTAACTCTCCATTTAATAACTTTCCTCTCCTACTTTTAACTGTCAAATCCATTCATTCCCAGGCTTCTTCATCTTATTAATATCACTCCAAAACTTTTTCTTATTTTCAACGAAATTTGTTGATAACATCTTACCCATTCTCTCATTTGCTCTCTCTTTATATTGAAGCTAAGACACATATGCAACATCTGGGTATCTTTATTGTAGATGTTTTGCCATCCAGTGGCTTTATCAATACAAATTCCAGGACATAACTTGAAGACAGTAGAACTTCTTTCTTTCAACAAACTGGCTGTATCCCACCAAGGCATGGTGGCCCAAAAAGAAAAACAAAAATTTCTTTTTTTAAATTTAGTAATTTATACAGGAGAAGGGGTTACTTGCCCCTTGCTCGTGAAGGTTATGTACATGTCCTCGGAATCAAGACTCCATGATGTTGCTGTGCTGACAAGTTGTACAAGAACGGTATACAATACCGACAAGATGAAACTAAGACACATATGCAACATCTAGGTATCTTTATTGTAGACGTTTTGCCATCCAGTGGCTTTATCAATACAAATTCCAGGACATAACTTGAAGGCAGTAGAATGGTATTGTATACCATTCTTGTACAACTTGTCAGCACTGCAACATCATGGAGTCTTGATTCTGAGGACATGTACATAACCTTCACGACTACAACAACTACTACTACAACTAACCCATCTCTTTGGGTAGGACCTACTTCCACTGGGGAATCCTGCCTACCAGTGACTATGGCCTCGTTTGCTACACGTCCTCTTTCCACCTGACGTTAGTATAAAAGCGCCAGGCTCCTTGCTTCTGCTCCTGAATCTACACGGCTATGGTGCTCTTCACACCAACTCCAAGGTTGAGGGGCTGATTACCTCATTTTCTGTACAGTGGACCCTCAACCAGCGATATTAATCTGTTCCTGAGAGCTCATCGTTAGTCAAAATAATTGTTAGTCAAGTTAATTTTCCCCATAAGAAATAATGGAAATCAAATTAATCCGTGCAAGACACCCAAAAGTATTGAAAAAAAAAAAATTTTACCACATGAAATATTAATTTTAATACACACAAACTGAAGATTACATGCACAGTTACATGACACTTACCTTTATTGAAGATCTGGTGATGATTGATGGGATGGGAGGAGGGGAGAGCGTTATCTTCTTACTGTTTAGAAGGGGAATCCCCTTCCATTAGCACTTTAGGCAGCAAGTCTTTTTCTGGGGTTACTTCCCTTGTTCTTTTAATGCCACTAGGACCAGCTTGAGAGTCACTGGACTTCTGTCGCACAACATATCTGTCCATAGAGGCCTGTACCTCTCGTTCCTTTATGACTTTCCTAAAGTGGTTCACAACATTGTCAGTGTACAGGTTGCCAACACGGCTTGCAGTAGCTGTGTCAGGGTGATTATCATAGATAAAGCTTTGCACTTTAAGCCACATTGCACAGATTTCCTTAATCTTAGAAGCCGGCAACTTCTTCAATTTCTCTCTCCCCTCCTCCGAAGCAGTTTCCTCAGGTCTGCCCTCTTGCTGTTCAAGATGATCTAGCAGCTCATCAGTGGTTAGTTCACTTTGGCCTGAGCAGGCCTCACTTGTCCCTTTGGTGCCAGTGTTTACAAGCCAGCCAGCCACAGCGGTCGCTTCCAAACATACAACTGGAACATTTCATATTATCACAGCCTTTTTAGTGATTGCACCTGCAAAATAAGTCACCATGGGCCCCAAGAAAGCTTCTAGTGCCAACCCTACAGCAAAAAGGGTGAGAATTACTATGGAGATGAAGAAAGAGATCATTGATAAATATGAAAGTGGAGTGAGTATCTCTGAGCTGGTCAGGTTGTATAATAAACCCCAATCAACCATCGCTACTATTGTTGGCAAGAAAACGGCAATCAAGGAAGCTGTTCTTGCCCAAGGTGCAACTATGTTTTCGAAACTGAGATCGCAAGTACTCGAAGATGTTGAGAGACTGTTATTGGTGTGGATAAACGAGAAACAGATAGCAGGAGACAGCATCTCTCAAGCGATCATATGTGAAAAGGCTAGGAAATTGCATGACGATTTAATTAAAAAAATGCCAGCAACTAGTGATGTGAGTGAATTTAAGGCCAGCAAAGGTTGGTTTGAGAGATTTAAGAAGCATAGTGGCATTCATAGTGTGATAAGGCATGGTGAGGCTGCCAGTTCGGACCACAAATCGGCTGAAAAATATGTGCAGGACTTCAAGGAGTACATAGACAGTGAAGGACTGAAACCTGAACAAGTGTTTAATTGTGACGAAACAGGCCTGTTTTGGAAGAAAATGCCAAGCAGGACGTACATTACTCAGGAGGAAAAGGCACTCCCAGGACATAAGCCTATGAAAGACAGGCTTACTTTGTTGATGTGTGCCAATGCTAGTGGTGATTGCAAAGTGAAGCCTTTATTGGTGTATCACTCTGAAACCCCCAAGAGTGTTCAGGAAAAACAATGACCTCAAGGCTAATTTGTGTGTGCTGTGGAGGGCAAACAGTAAGGCATGGGTCACTAGGGACTTTTTCTGTGACTGGTTACACCATGCATTTGCCCCCGATGTGAAAAATTACCTAATTGAAAAGAAATTAGACTTTAAGTGCCTCCTGGTATTAGACAATGCCCCTGGTCATCCTACAGATGTGGCAGAGCGACTTTCTAGGGACATGAGCTTCATTAAGGTGAAGTTTTTGCCTCCTAATACCACTCCTCTCCTGCATCCCATGGACCAGCAGGTTATTTCCAACTTCAAGAAACTGTACACAAAAGCTATGTTTGAAAGGTGCTTTGTAGTGACCTCAGAAACTCAACTGACTCTAAGAGAGTTTTGGAAAGATTATTTTACCATCCTCAATTGTGTAAACATTATAGGTAAGGCTTGGGAGGAAGTGACTAAGAGGACATTGAACTCTGCTTGGAAAAAACTGTGGCCAGAATGTGTAGACAAAAGGGATTTTGAAGGGTTTGAGGCTAACCCTGAGAATCCTATGCCAGTTGAGGAATCCATTGTGGCATTGGGGAAGTCCTTGGGGTTGGAGGTTAGTGGGGAGGATGTGGAAGAGTTGGTGGTGGAGGACAGTGAAGAACTAACCACTGATGAGCTGCTAGATCATCTTGAACAGCAAGAGGGCAGACCTGAGGAAACTGCTTCGGAGGAGGGGAGAGAGAAATTGAAGAAGTTGCCGACTTCTAAGATTAAGGAAATCTGTGCATGTGGCTTAAAGTGCAAAGCTTTATGGATGATAATCACCCTGACACAGCTACTGCAAGCCGTGTTGGCAACCTGTACACTGACAATGTTGTGAACCACTTTAGGAAAGTCATAAAGGAACGAGAGGTACAGGCCTCTATGGACAGATATGTTGTGCGACAGAAGTCCAGTGACTCTCAAGCTGGTCCTAGTGGCATTAAAAGTACAAGGGAAGTAACCCCAGAAAAAGACTTGCTGCCTCAAGTGCTAATGGAAGGGGATTCCCCTTCTAAACAGTAAGAAGATAACGCTCTCCCCTCCTCCCATCCCATCAATCATCACCAGATCTTCAATAAAGGTAAGTGTCATGTAACTGTGCATGTAATCTTCAGTTTGTGTGTATTAAAATTAATATTTCATGTGGTAAAATTTTTTTTTTTCAATACTTTTGGGTGTCTTGCACGGATTAATTTGATTTCCATTATTTCTTATGGGGAAAATTAACTTGACTAACAATTATTTTGACTAACGATGAGCTCTCAGGAACGGATTAATATCGCTGGTTGAGGGTCCACTGTACTCTTAATAGCCCATCTACTCTCCAATAGTTGTTTTTATCTTACCCTAACTGCCTCCTCCTTTAGCTTCTGCTTCCATTTTCCTTGTATCCCATCCAGCTTTTACTCTCACTGTAGCTACAACTAAAAAGTGATCTGATATGTCTCTGGCCCCTTTATAAAAATGTACATCTTGAATTCTACCCAACAGTTTATCTACCAATACATAGTCCAACAAACTACTGTCATTATGCCCTACATCATATCTTGTATACTTATCCTCTTTTTCTTAAAATATGTATTACCAAACTCCTTTCTGTATAAAATTCAATCAAAGGGCCCCCATTATCATTTACACCTGGCACCCCAAACTTACCTACTGCACCTTCTTTAAATGTTTCTCCTACTTTAGCATTTAGGTCCTCTACCACAGTTACTCTCTCACTTGGTTCAAAAGTTCCTACACTTGCTTAACATCTCCCAAAATTTCTCTCCCTCCTCTACACTTCTCTCTTTCCAGGTGCATACATGCTAATTATGACCCACTCTTTGCATCCGGCCCATATTTTAATCCACATAATCATTAATACAATAAATTAAAAACACATAATATACACAGCATTTTGGGAACAGGGCACCAGAGTGAAAGCCTATACAAGGTGCAACAAAGTAAACTTTCCATATAAGTAGGAGAGCTGGTGAACATTTCCTGTACCACTGTCCAGAGTAAAAACTATACCAAAGCCCCACAGTATTATGATATTGCTCTGTTTGACAGAGTATGCTCTCAATATAATGGACTTATGAAATAAAAAGGCACTGGGTAAATTGTGCTGTTTTTATATGTACAAAATACAGATATGTATATCTGTATTTATCTGTATAAAATAGATATGAATATAGATTTTAACTTCTTTATTATTTAAGTTTATTGCAGTATACGTATATGTAAATTTTGTGTACAGTACTACGTATATTAGTGTATAGTAGAGTACTTTTGTATATTCTCTGAAAATATTTAACATTAGTCTGATTTAGTTTTGCAGTAAATGAATTAAAAAATGCAGAATATTCGCAGTTGTCTGCAAGGAAGATGTTAGTCTAAATACTTTTTATTCGTTAACATACTGGACTTCACAGGACACCAGTGAAAGAAAAGTAGTTGCTTCATACATTAAAATAAGTCAAATGATTGAAGCCATGTTGAGTATTAACTGAATATAGATTGAGTGTGTTAGTAAGTAAATTTTAGGGTGAGGGGTTATAGAGCACCTGATTATAACTGTTGCATATTATAAATGAGATTTAATTTTATTCATTTATAGCACTGTGTTTGTTGTCACCCACATGCAGCACCTCTAGGTCAAGCTCGGGCATATCTGGGAGTGGCTGTGATTCATGACAAGTTATATGCTATTGGTGGCTATGATGGCTCACGATGGCTTAGCTCTGTGGAGAAATACGATCCTCTGCGTGATCAGTGGACTTCAGGTGAGTGAATGTTCAGAGGTAAATCCTGAAGTTTCAAGACATTCATTTCACATACAGGTGCACCTTGTCACTCTACTTTCAAGCTGTTCAGTGTTATTGGCTTAAAACTCTAAGTCATGCCCTCTGTCGCATGTTTCATTAAGCACGCCATATATTTAGGAGACAATATTGCCACGCCTTGGGATCTTTTCCCTCTGCACAGGTGAAGCCATTGTTTTTAGATGGAGGCTTATTCTCACTCTTGATGTAAATAATAAATACAAATACTTTATTTCTTTTCTGCAATATACAGATAATGTAATTTACATGTAATAAAATATTGTTAGGCACAAAAGAAAGCTACTAGCATAGTGTGCATTTAAGACAAAACTGCCAGTTCACCATGTGTACAGTGTGTTGTATACCTTACTAAGTCCTGTGTTATTCAGTCATTTTTCAATCTTTTTATCATCCCATCTCATCTCTGGATATTAATTATGACACCTAAGATGAATACTGGTGATGTTGGAGGTACCAAGAAGAGAAATAAGCATGAAAGTCTAAGTGTTTTGAAAAAATGGGAATCTTATACAGTCCATGTTTAGAGAAGGGTGCATGTGTGATATCCTACCTGGAGGGCATTCTGGGGATCAATGCCCTTGCAGCCTGGTCCATGACCAGACTTCCTGGTGGATCAGGGCCTGATCAACGAGGCTGTTACTGCTGGCTGCACGTAGTCCAATGTATGAACCACAGCCCGGCTGATCTGGCACTGACTTTAGTGTGCCAGTGGTGCTCCTGGTACACTAAGAGAAAACACAATAAGTGTCTAGGGCCCTAGACTGTTCAACAGCCTCCCACCAGCCATAAGGGGAATTACCAGTAGGCCCCTGGTTGTCTTCAAGAGGGAGCTGGACAGATACCTAAAGTCCTGGTAATAGTTTACAATTACTGCTCAGATGATTTTGTCAGTATAGTTGCTGATCCCCTGTATATGCATATGTTATCTGAGTATCATAGTTAGTACCATCCATACATTTTACATACACGACCCCTTGCTAGGCTCAGTGACTAGCTTGTGTGACATCACGTGATGCTGATGTGAGCGCTACGCTCCCAGCCCTAGGCCTCAGTTCCCCATAGTCCTAGCAGGCAACAGGACAGGCAGTTTGGGCTCTCCCTTATCACAGTGCAATATAAGCATTAACACCCAACGACTTGTGATTAACTCCAATCATCACATCTCCACGAAGGCTCCCAACAAATGGTGGCAGCAGTGGTATAATTATAATTGTAAAATATTAAGTTGGTTATGCAGCTGAGATTGCATTTTGTTGTATAAATGGTAAAAAACAACCAAATACAATGAAACCCACCTAAAATAACCTAGTGTAACTTTACATTACCTTTACTATGATCTTGGGACATCTTTCTTTACATTCTGTAACCTTTGCTATATATTTATATTCACTCTACACCTGACATGACTCAGTACTAAGCGATGATTGGCCAAGATGTGTTCCACAACCAAAACAAATGGTGGCCTGGTGGTTAACGCTCTCGCTTCACACGGCGAGGGCCTGGGTTCGATTCCCAGCCAGAGTAGAAACATTGGGCGTGTTTCTTTCCACCTGTTGTCTATGTTCCCCATCAGTAAAATGGGCACCTGGGTGTTAGTCGACTGGTGTGGGTCGCATCCTGGGACACTGACCTAATTTGCCCGAGATGCTCAGCATAACAAGTGGCTTTCTATGTAGTAGTATGTCATTGTTGTCAGCTAGGACTGTATACCATGTACATGTACTTGTAGTAAATAAAGATTATTATTATTATTATTATTATTAATATTCTCTGACTAATCACATAAGGAATAATTATCCATGCTCTGCTTAGGTTGTATGTACATATTATGATATATAAACTAATGACCTAGTCCCGCTGACAGAAGACACTGCAGTGGAAGACGAGGTAATCAGTCCCTCATACTAGGGGCACTGAAGTGGAAGACGAGGTAATCAGTCCCTCATACTAGGGGCACTGTAGTCTTTAAGAATCTGAAGCACAGGCAGGAAAATAGGTGCTTATATACTGTAGTCAGATGATATGCAGCAGATGAAGGCATTGTCACTAGAGAGAGAGAGTGAGTAAGTGAGTGAGTGAGTGTGTGAGTGAGTGAGTGAGTGAGTGTGAGTGTGTGAGTGTGTGAGTGTGTGAGTGTGTGTGTGTGTGTGTGTGTGTGTGTGTGTGTGTGTGTGTGTGTGTGTGTGTGTGTGTGTGGGTGTATGAGTGTGTGTGAGTGTGAGTGTGAGAGTGTGTGTGTGTGTGTGTGTGTGTGTGTGTGTGTGTGTGTGTGTACTCACCTAATTGTGGTTGCAGGGGTCGAGACTCAGCTCCTGGCCCCGCCTCTTCACTGATCGCTACTGGGTCCTCTCTCTCTGCTTCCTGACCTTTATCATACCTCTTCTTAAAACTATGTATGGTTCCTGCCTCCACTACTTCACTTGCTAGGCTGTTCCACTTCCTGAAGACTCTATGACTGAAGAAATACTTCCTAACGTCTCTGTGACTCGTCTGAGTCTTCAGCTTCCAGTTGTGACCCCTTGTTCCTGTGTCCCCTCTCTGGAACATCCTATCTCTGTCCACCTTATCTATTCCCCGCAGTATCTTGTATGTCGTTATCATGTCTCCCCTGACCCTTCTGTCCTCCAGTGTCGTCAGTCCGATTTGCCTCAACCTTTCCTCGTACGACATTCCCCTGATCTCTGGGACTAGCCTTGTTGCAAACCTTTGTACTTTCTCTAACTTCTTGACGTGCTTGACCAGGTGTGGGTTCCAGACTGGTGCTGCATACTCCAGTATGGGCCTAACATACACAGTGTACAGTGTCTTGAACGATTCCTTATTTAGGTATCGGAACGCTATTCTCAGGTTTGCCAGGCGCCCGTATGCTGCAGCAGTTATTTGGTTGATGTGTGCCTCCGGTGACGTGCTCGGAGTTATGGTCACCCCGAGGTCTTTCTCCCTGAGTGAGGTCTGTAGTCTTTGTCCACCTAGCCTATACTCTGTCTGCGGTCTTCTTTGCCCCTCCCCAATCTTCATGACTTTGCATTTGGCAGGATTGAATTCGAGAAGCCAGTTTCTGGACCACATGTCCAGCCTGTCCAGGTCACTTTGCAGTCCTGCCTCATCCTCATCGATTTAATTCTTCTCATCAACTTCACATCATCTGCGAATAGGGACACTTCAGAGTCTATTCCTTCCATCATGTCGTTCGCATATATCAGAAATAGCACTGGCCCTAGAACTGACCCCTGTGGGACCCCGCTTGTCACAGGTGCCCACTGTGATACCTCTTCACGTACCATGACTCGTTGTTGCCTCCCTGTCAGGTATTCCCTGATCCACTGCAGTACCCTCCCTGTTACATGCGCCTGATCCTCCAGCTTCTGCACTAATCTCTTGTGGGGAACTGTGTCAAAGGCCTTCCTGCAGTCTAGGAAAATGCAATCAACCCACCCCTCTCTCTCGTGTCTTACTTCTGTTACCTTGTCATAAAACTCCAGGAGGTTTGTGATACAAGATTTGCCTTCCATGAACCCATGCTGGTTTTCATTTATAATCTTGTTCCGTTCCAGGTGTTCCACCACTCTCCTCCTGATAATCTTCTCCATGATTTTGCACACAATACATGTCGGAGACACAGGTCTGTAGTTTAACGCCTCATTTCTGTTTCCTTTCTTAAATATGGGGACTACATTTGCTGTCTTCCATTTCTCAGGTAGTTGCCCAGTTTCAAGGGATGTGTTGAAGATTGTGGTTAGAGGCACGCACAGCATCTCTGCTCCTTCTCTAAGGACCCATGGGGAGATGTTGTCCGGTCCCATCGCCTTTGAGGTATCAAGGTCACTTAGCAGCTTCTTCACCTCCTCCTCGGTTGTTCGTATGTCATCCAACACTTGGTGATATATTCCCTCTTGATGTTCCCTTCTTTACTGACTTCCAACAGCCCTCCCTGTCTCTACTGTAAAAACTTCCTTAAATCTCCTGTTTAGCTCCTCACATACCTCCTGGTCATTTCTTGTGAGTTCTCCCCCTTCTGTCCTTAATCTGATCACCTGGTCTTTGACTGTTGTCTTCCTCCTGATGTGGTTATACAACAGTTTCGGGTCAGTCTTGATTTTCGATGCTATGTCATTTTCATACTGTCGCTGGGCCTCCCTCCTTACCTGTGCGTACTCGTTCCTGGCTCTGCGACTGATCTCCCTATTTTCGTGTGTTCTCTGCCTTCTGTACTTTATCCATTCTCTATTGCACTTCGTTTTTGCCTCCTTACACCGTTGGGTAAACCAGGGGCTCGTTCTGGTCTTCCCGTTGTTTCTGTTGCCCTTGGGAATAAACCTTTCCACTGCCTCCTTGCATTTTGTTGTTACATATTCCATCATTTCATTTACTGGCTTTCCTGCCAGTTCTCTGTCCCATGGGACCTCCTGCAGGAAGTTCCTCAACCCTATGTAGTCCCCTCTTTTATAGTCAGGCTTTTCCCATTCAACTCCTGTTACTCTCTCCACTTGCAGCTCTACTATATATTCAAAGCACAGAACAACGTGGTCGCTAGCTCCTAGGGGACTCTCATACATGATGTCCTCAATGTCTGAACTGTCCAGGGTGAACACAAGGTCCAATCTTGCTGGTTCATCCTCCCCTCTCACTCTGGTAGTGTCCTTAACATGTTGATGCATGAGGTTTTCCAGCACCATGTCCATCATCTTTGCTCTCCATGTTTCGGGACCCCCATGTGGCTCCAGGTTTTCCCAGTCAATCTCCCTGTGGTTGAAATCCCCCATAACCAGCAACTTTGCTCTGCTGGAGTGAGCTCTTCTTGCCACCTCAGCAAGTGTGTCCACCATTCCTCTGTTGCTCTCTTCATATTCCTGTGTGTGTGTGTGTGTGTGTGTGTGTACTCACCTATTTGTACTCACCTATTTGTGGTTGCAGGGGTCGAGTCCTAGCTCCTGGCCCCGCCTCTTCACCGGTTGCTACTAGGCCCTCTCTCTCCCCGCTCCATGAGCTTTATCAAACCTCGTCTTAAAACTGTGTATGGTTCCTGCCTCCACTACGTCATTTTCTAGGCTATTCCACTGCCTTACAACTCTATGACTGAAGAAATACTTCCTACTATCTCTCTGACTCATTTGTGTCTTCAACTTCCAGTTGTGGCCTCTTGTTTCTGTGTCCCCTCCCTGGAACATCCTGTCTTTGTCCACCTTGTCTATTCCACGCAGTATTTTATATGTCGTTATCATGTCTCCCCTGACCCTCCTGTCCTCCAGTGTCGTCAGGCCGATTTCCCTTAATCTTTCTTCATAGGACATTCCCCTTAGCTCTGGAACTAACCTTGTCGCAAACCTTTGTACTTTCTCTAGTTTCTTGACGTGCTTTATCAAGTGCGGGTTCCAAACAGGTGCTGCATACTCCAGTATGGGCCTGACATACACGGTGTACAGTGCCTTGAATGATTCCTTACTAAGGTATCGGAATGCTGTTCTCAGGTTTGCCAGGCGCCCATATGCTGCAGCAGTTATCTGATTGATGTGTGCTTCCGGAGACATGCTCGGTGTTATACTCACCCCAAGATCTTTCTCCTTGAGTGAGGTAGGTGTGTGTGTGTGTGTGTGTGTGTGTGTGTGTGTGTGTGTGTGTGTGTGTGTGTGTGTGTGTGTGTGTGTGTGTGTGTGTGTTGTGTGTGCATACTCACCTAGTTGTACTCAGCTAGTTGTGGTTGCAGGGTGAGGACATGGGAAATAGTGTTTGTGTAGGTGTGAAATCCTGCAGGGGATGGAGGAATTGAATGGACAGGTTGTGTAAGGTCAGATGCCGCTGATTGGTATGGTGTGGGTAAAGGTATGTGGGTTTCTCATTGAACAAGCTCATATCCTTGCCTCATTCTTCTTAATTATTCAGACCATGGGCTCATGCCATCTCCATTACATGTGTGCAATTCTTAAGCATATCTCAATTTTCTTTGAAACACCAACACTTTCATGCCTATGCTTCTGTGCAGTTCCAGGATCACACATTCCTCTTGGTGCCATGGTTAATATCCAGAGATGAGATGGGATGATGAAAAGATGAAACATCGATTCATAAACACAGGCCTAGTATGGTATTAGACGTATATGAACGAAGCTCTGGGTGATTAAGGTTGTCTACATTATATAAGCCTTCCTCATAAGACAATGGACTCACCCTGAGGCTCACTATGAGATGGAGGGAAAAAGAACATGTCATGTGCCACATTTTTCCATACATGCACTCCACTGTGTAAACCAATTTTTTTGGCATGTTCACCAAAAATATGCTGGAATTTTGCATCCATTCTATAGCAAAAACAGTTTAACAAAATGTCATGTACAGTGGACCCCCGCATAACGATATTATTTCAATCCAGAAGTCTGTTTGGGTGCCGTTATAGACCGAATTTGTTCCCATAAGAAATATTGTGAATTAGATTAGTCCATATCAGACCCCTAAAAATACACCTACAAAAGCACTTACAAAAATAAACTTACATAATTGGTCGAGTTGGGAGCTGATCGTTATCCGGGGGTCCACTGTATTATCCCGTGGTCTGCTGTATATAAAAGATCCAATTCTAAAATCTTGGACAATAAATGGTAAAAATTGTTATAAATTGAAAATATAAATTCCTGCAGTCTCATTATGATTTGTATAGACTTAGAGACTTAATGTTGTCATGTGTTGCAGTGTCATCTATGATCAGTGCTCGGAGCAGTTTTGGTGTGACTGTGAGTCATGGAAGGATCTTCTGTCTAGGTGGATTTAGTGGAGAATCTAACCTTAACACAGTTGAGAAATACAACCCTCGCACAAACATGTGGCACTGTGTTCAGTCTATGCAGCTTCGACGCTATGGGCTAGTTGCAGCCACTGTCAATGTTCCAGGATCTCGGCGAGTGTAGCGGGTGATACAATCAACACCTCTTAGATGTGTATCCAGGGTCACTAGGTGTAGATGGTGTTTGTAACATTCCTAGTAATCTATGCTTGAAGCTGGAAATATTAGTGTTTACATATTATATTTCTTGTGTATAAGTGAGATTGCCTAATTTAAGAGAAAAAGTAAAAAGATGCCAGAGAATTTCCTGGTGTTGTTATTATTTGGCCATCAGTATGATCTGTAGCTGTAATGTGAAAGGGTAGCAACACACTCAGGGATTCATCTGTTATTTGTTTAAGGAAGAATGGCTTTATATATGGCTTCACATACACTAGTTGTCAATGCCAGTACAGTGTCAGTGAACTGTAATACACCCTTCCTCTAGCATTCACCACTCTTACTGCTCTAAAGTAAGTAAAACAATAAATAAAAGCTGCAATTGCAATCAAATTTTCAATGGTCTTAGGATGTGGTTGCAACAGATGATCTTACATACAAGCATTTCTTTGGTCTGTGAAAATGTATGAACTGTGATACAATATTATAAATTTGTTAGGTATAGCTGCCTGTTATTTATGTGAGAATATAATTATTATTTAATTGTTTTTGAATAGAGGTATTGAGGTTCATTGGCCAAAAGTTAAGTTTGTTAACCCTTAAACTGTCCAAACGTAGATATATGTTGACGTGCGGCAGGCTCCGAACGTAGATCTACGTTTTTTTTATGTGCTTTCAAATCGGGAAAATCAAGGTTGGAGTGCTACACACATGAACGTAGATCTACGTTGATCTAGTTGGAATTTTTCTTCATTGAACATCATGTGGTTTTCCGTTGCCCATTGGAAAACTTGGTTTATATCCTCTTGGAGGTTAACCATGTCCTCAATAGATGACAGTCTCATGCAGATCCTAGTATTGTCTGCAAAGGATGATATGGTGCTGTGGATTACATCCTTGTCTGTGTCTGATATGAGGATGAGGAACAGGATGGGGGGCAAGTATTGTGCCTTGTGGAACAAAGCTTTTCACTATGGCAGCTTCCGATTTAACTCTGTTGACCACTACTCTTTGTGTTCAATTGGTTAGAAAGTTGAAGATCCATCTCCCCACTTTGCCAGTTATTCCTTTAGCATGTACAGTGGTCCCCCGCTTTTCGTAGTTCCCGGCAATCGTAAGATTCGCCAATCATAGGGGTATTTTCGTATAAACATGGACTCGCTTTTCATAGGTTGACTCGAGAGTCGTAGTTCATCCGGGACGCGTACGCATGGCGTGGGCCAGGGCGGCAGCCAGTCTGGCATTGTTTACCAGTGAGCGAAGGTCCCCTCGCGTGCTCCGCGAAATATTTCATAATATTCCATTTATTTTAGTGCTTGCAAGTACTAAATAAGCTACCATGGCTCCAAAGAAAGCTCCTAGTGCCAAGCCTGTGGTAAAGAAGGTGAGAAATACGATTGAATTTAAGAAAACCATCATTGAACAATATGAAAGTGGTACAAGTGTGGCCGAACTGTCCAGGATGTATAAGAAACCCTACACAACCTTATGTTCCATAGTGGCCAAGAAAAATGAAATAAAGGATGCTGTTGTTGCAAAGGGAGTAACTATGCTGACAAAAATGAGATCACCAGTACTGGAAGAGGTTGAGAAGTTATTATTGGTGTGGATAAATGAGAAACAATTAGCAGGAGATACTCTTATGACTTCGTTTATTTGTGAAAAGGCTAGGCAGTTGCATGAAGATTTGGTAAAGAAATTGCCTGCAAATAGTGGTGAAGTGAGTGGATTTAAGGCCAGCAAAGGCTGGTTTGAGAGATTTAAGAACCGTACTGGCATACACAGTGTGGTAAGGCATGGTGAGGCTGCCAGTTCGGACCACAAGGTGGCTGAAAAATATGTGCATGAATTCCAGGAGTACATAAACATTGAAGGACTGAAACCTGAACAAGTGTTCAATTGTGATGAAACAGGCCTCTTTTGGAAGAAAATGCCAAAGAGGACCTTCATTACACAAGAGGAAAAGGCAATGCCAGGACATAAGCCTATGAAAGACAGGCTGACGCTAATGTTCTGCGCTAATGCTAGTGGGGATTTCAAAGTGAAGCCATTACTAGTGTACCATTCTGAAAATCCCAGAGTGTTCAGGAAAAACAATGTTATGAAGAGTAAATTGTGTGTGTTTTGGAAATCTAATAGTAAGGCATGGGTCACAAGGGAAATTTTCGTTGAGTGGTTCAATGAAGTGTTTGGCCCTAGTGTGAAGGAGTATCTCCTGGAAAAGAAATTGGATCTCAAGTGCGTGCTAGTAATGGACAATGCACCTGCTCATCCTCCAAACTTGGATGACCTAATTTTCGAGGAGTTTGGATTCATCACAGTAAAGTTCTTGCCCCCAAATACCACTCCTCTCCTCCAACCCATGGACCAGCAGGTTATTGCAAACTTTAAAAAACTCTATGCAAAAGCAATGTTTCACAGGTGCTTGACTGTGACCACAGACACTCACTTGACCCTAAGGGAATTTTGGAGAGAACACTTCAGCATCCTCCACTGCATAACCCTTATAGGTATAGCTTGGGAGGGAGTGACTACCAGGACTTTGAACTCTGCCTGGAGAAAATTGTGGCCAGATTGTGTTGACAAGAGGGATTTTGAAGGATTTGGGGCTGACCCTAATGAGCCTATGTCTGTTGTAAAATCAGTTGTGGCACTGGGGAGTTCCATGGGGTTGGATGTGAGTTTGGAGGATGTGGAAGAATTGGTGGAAGACCACAATGAAGAGCTCACCACTGAGGAGCTGCAAGAGCTTCAGCAGGAAGAGCAACACATCGCAGCTCAGAATCTTGCTGCAGAGGAGGAGGAAGAGAGATGGAAGAAGGTGCCTTCTTCAGAAATTAAAGAGATTTTTACTATGTGGGGTAAGATAGAAAGCTTTATGGAGAAACATCACCCTAACATGGTTGTTGCAAGCCAGGTTGGCAATATGTACAGTGACAAAGTCTTGGGCCATTTTAGGGAAGTGTTAAAGAGATGCCAGAAACAGAGCTCTCTCCACAGTTATTTTGTGAGACAGGACTCCAGTGACTCTCAAGGTGGTCCTAGTGTCATTAAGAAACAGAGAAGAGAAGCAACCCCAGAAAAGCAAATGGTTCCTGAGGTGTTGATGGAAGGGGATTCCCCTTCCAAACTATAAACAATCCACTCTCTCTCCTCCTCCAGTCTCCCATACACTAAGAAGAATCTCCAATAAAGGTAAGTGTTATGCTGTTAATGTTTCATTCATCATTTCCCATTGTATTGTTTATGTACTACATGTATATTTCATGTTAAAATTTTTTTTGTTTTAATACTTCTGGGTGTCAGGAACGGATTAATTGTATTTACATTATTTCTTATGGGGAAAATTGATTCGTAAATCGTAAATTTCGTTTATAGTAATGGCTCCAGGAACGGATTAATTACGAACAACGAGGGACCACTGTATTTTGTGTGCTGTTATGCCATTATCGCACTCGTCAATGGCTTTTGCAAAGTTTGTGTATATTACATCTGCATTCTGTTTTTCTTCCAGTGCATCCAAGATCATATCATAGTGATTAAGTAGTTGTGAAAAGCAGGAGCAACCTGCTCTGAACCCGTGTTGCCCTGGATTGTGCAGTTTTGGGAATCCAAGTGGTTTGCAGTAGTGCTTCTTAGCACTCTTTCAAAGATTTGTATGATGTGGTACATTAGAGCTATTGGTCTATAGTTCTTAGCTAATGCTTTGCTGCCACCCTTATGGAGTGAGGCTATATCCATTGTTTTTAGTGACTGTGGAATTTCACCCATGTCTAAACTCCTCCTTAGTATACTTAGAGCATGCAAAAGGGGTTTCTTGCAGTTCTTAATGAGTTCCACGAGTCTGGGCCTGGGGTTGAGTGCATGGGCATGTTGTTAATGGCTTTCTCAAAGTCTATCGGAGTTAGGGTAATGTCGGAAATCTGGCATACATTGATGGAGTTTTGAGGCTCATTCATAAAAAAATAATTTGGATTATTGATCTTTAGACTGATTTGTGGTTCTCTAAACACAGAGTCATATTGGGATTTCAGTATCTCACTCATTTCTTTGTTATCATTTGTCTAAGTCCCATATTTTCTGAGTAAGGCCTCGATACTAGATATGACATTTGCCTTGTTTTTGGCACATGAAAAGAAATATTTTGAATTTCTTTCAATTTCACTAATCGCTTTTAGCTCCTCCTGTCTCTCCTGGATCCTATAGGAGTCCTTTAACTTAAGTTCGATACTTTCCACTTCTCTGGTCAGCACTTCCATGTTAAGGTGTCCCGTAGCTCAATCACTAGCGCATTCAGCTCATACACTGAAGTCCGGGGTTTGAATCTCCTCCGGTACGGCTGGAAAACATTATGGATGTGTTTCCATAAGACACCTGCTGTCCCTGTCTATGTTCACTCATCAGTTTAAAATAGGTACCTGGGTATTAGTTGACTGGTGTGGGTCACATCCTGGGACAGAACTGACCTAATTCCCTTGAAATGCTCAGCATAACAAGTGGCTTTCTGTATAGTAATATGTCATTGATGTCAGCTAGGCCTGTATACCATGTACAGGTACTTGTAGTAAATAAAGATATATTAGATAATCAAGCGTTCTTGAGGAGCTTAGTGATTTTTGTCGTCTTCTGTAGAGGGAGCATCTTTCTCTCTCCAGTTTACTTCTTCTCTTCTTCTTTCCTAGGGGAATATGCCTTGAACATACTTCAGCTGCCAGGAAGTTGATCCTTTCAAGGCATTGGTTTGGATCCATGTTATTTAAGATATCTTCCCAACATGTTTTATTTAAGACATGGTTCACCTGGTCCTAGTTGATGTTCTTGTTGTTGAAGTTGTATTTGGTGAAGACACCTTCACAACTATGTGCATTTTGCTGACCAGGACCCCTGTGCATGTAAGTCTGAACTTTGCTTAGATTGTGATCGGAATTAGTTGTTTTTGATATTATGTTTCTTACCAGGTCCCCATTATTTGTAAAGATATGGTCAAGTGTGTTTTCCAGTCTTGTTGACTGCACTATCTGCTGACTTAGGGTGTGTTTATTGCAGAGATTTAGTAGCTCGTGTGTGTGCCCTTTTCATCTGCGCTGCCTCCAGGATTGTTTCTGCTGTAGCATTATTTGTACATTCTTCCATTTTGTATGCCTTAGGTTGAAATCACCAAGCAGTAAGATGTTTTGGGGATGGAGCTGGAAGAATTTCCAGACAGTAATCAATTTTCAGTAGCTGTTCCTTGAACTTGTTGGGAGGTTGCATCTGGTGGCTTATATACAACCATGATGACTTGGTTTTGGTTCTCAGCTTTATTGCTAGAACTTCAACTACATCATTTGTGGTGTTCAACATCTCTGTGCAGATGAGAGACTAGAATTAGTTTAAAAGCAGGATAATATTTTGTGAAGGGATTCAAGAAAACCAGTTAGCTGAACTT